CAAGTTCCAGCTAGCACTGTATGAGAACTTCAACAGCAGGACGGAAATTAACCACTCCAGAAGTACCCGTTGTCGCACTGGAAAAGCAAACAGCTCGAATATGCTCCTGCCGCGCAATCTCGAGAACAAAGAAAGTGGCCTGGCGTAAAGTCAAGGAAGAAAGGACTTCGCAGATAAAATGAAGTAAATGGGAAATACGAGCAACCTTGGAAATCCGTAGACCCAGAAGGGGTGTTCTTCCAGGGGTAAAAAGAGACAGGCCAGCTACACCGAGGAGCCGCCTCGGTTCAATAGACGGGGAAACGACTGACGACCGACTTCAGAGATGAAAGGCCCCCAGACCCAACTCTAGTCCGTCCGTGGGCCCGCTGTTCTGCGACTAGCATTGGCGACGACCTGGGCAATGCACGAGGGACCTGGTGACTTTAGCGATGGTGGGACACATGACTGTTGAGGAGGAGTAGATCCTGGAGATGGTGGGATCCCCACACTATCTTGGGACGTCGGATGGATTTATCGGACATTGGCAGCATCCTTGGTACGGAGGTCAGGTCTTGGGATCGGGTTGACTAAGTCGCTCCGATGGCAAGTCGGAGGTCGAATCAGTCGGGGCAGTAGGACGCCTTTATGCGGCTGAAATACAGTGGATCTGTCAACCATGACCTTCGCATCGAACCGAGACGCAAGAGCTAGGGATCGTAGCAAAACGTTCTTGAATTTGATCTCCGCCGTTTTCCCCAGTCCCAGAGTCCTGGCAATGGGGTCGACGATGGTAACCAAGTGGGATCAAAACAGCAACTCGGTGGAGGTCCGTCACGATGCTGATGCATATTCAACAGTAATTGGCGGATTTTGGAGCGACCCTGCGTTGGGGGGAGTGATGGAAAAGTGGAGTGTGATTATCAGTGTGATTATCAATACGGCATTTGCATAAAGCGGAGACCCCGACATTAGACGGCGGTTCCGGTGACAGACTGGAGTGTGTGCCGCTTGGCAGGGACTTGAGCGAGAGTGCGGTGTAGAAGGCCCCGAAAGCGACATAAAATTGGGGTTGGCTGTTATATGTGGAGTTACCACGTCGTTGGGGCGTTTGGTGTGTTTTAGCACACGATATGGGAGCCGTCTTTTCCGGCATGTGGAATGCTCGCAGGAGCATAATTTGGGGCGGATTGATGGGGTACTGGAGAGATCGGCGCAGTTTAGCTGGGTCCTGGGGTAGACTTGTCAGTATGGAGCACTTTGGTAGGCTGCGAGGACTGCTTTCGGTGGTGTTGCTGCCGCTGTTTACTCCTGCCTGCGTGACGAGAAGGGAGTTGGGTCAGTGAAATGGGCCCGGATGTCCCGAAACAGGAAGGCCCGAGATCTGCAAGACAATGCCCGGGCACATGTCAGCCTCATCCCCACGCTAGGCTTGTGAACTCCACACGAGCCTCTCCCGACTACCAAGCATGCATTGGCAATTTGTCCCGCCATGGCAGAAAGCGCGACCGCACCTACCGAGCAGCATCCACGGCGCGACCAAGCTGATCGACCGCACGGCGAGAATATGTAGGAGGAGTGTCAGCAAACCAAGTGCGCTCCCGAAAGCCTGGGCAAATCCTCGGCTGTATAGCAACTTAATCTGAATGTCTCGAGAGATGCCGCTATCACGTGCGTCGAATCGTCTCCCGGCCGGCAGTGCCGCCCGACGTTGCTGCACTCCATCCCAGGAAGTACAGCCGACCATCGACCATCACAGCAACCATCGTCACCGTTGCAGCACATGGCGTGTTCAAGCTCCACCAACTGCAGTCTCTATTAGTTAAGATCATCGGCCAAGCTGCAAAGGCTGCAGAGCCGCATGCGCACGGTTGGTCAGACCCTGCATGGGGACGGACGCGAGTCGCCGGTGCATGACGTCAAGCGCCCTCTTGTTGAGACTGAAACCGTGCCTTATGGGAGGAATTAGCACGCTATCCGTACACGGCGGCATGTAGCCCGAGATGGTGCCTTTGACCTACACCGGTGTCCTAGTCGACGACGAAGTTCCTGCATCATCTTGACATGCGTACCGTAGATTTTGACAGGCGGTTGCGGGTGGCGTAGGCGGCGAAGAAACTTCGTCCAGCCTTCTGTGCTGACTGGCGAACCCGTCGTTCACCAATCGTTTCACCTGCGTCTTCCCCAGGCTGACCCCAAGCCCTGCGCCCATGACGTAATGTGGAGGTAACCTCGGGCTAGGAGCAGAGACATGCTGTGCCGAGCGCGCTTGTTGGACTGCAAGCGTCCTCCGCTCTTCTCCAAGATTGGCCCAAGATGGCTTGCTCCACCAACAGACCCTGTTAGGTTCGCCCTCGTATCCACAGTTTATTTGCGCCTCTACCGCCCGCACCTCAGGCTCGCATACTGCTACACCAGCCAAGGCCAAGATGTTGGAAAAAAATCGTTATCTAGTTTTCTCCACGCGTCAGTCGGAATCTTGGTAGCGTATCTTTTAGTGGGCCGAGGGTAGACGACCAGTAACCACGTTTCTGCCGAACACCCTTGTACGCAACGGACGATGATCATTTAAAGCTCTACTCTCTCCCCACGGATCTTTCCTCCCCAGCATCTCCTCACTCCTCTCCAGTTTCCATCGATACAACGCAACCATGCCGCCACGTATCAAGGAGTCCGAAAATGGTGTTCCCACCTACTGGGGCAAGTCCGGCAGGGCCCTCCAGGTTCTCATCACCATCGTTGCTGTTACCGACTTCCTACTCTTCGGTTATGACCAGGGTGTCATGAGTGGAATCATCTCTGCTCCCGCCTTCCAAGACGCGTTCCCTGAAGTCAAGGATGACTCTACCTACGAGGGTTTCGTCGTCTCCATCTATGCGGTCGGTTGTCTGCTTGGTGCCATCTTCGTCTTCGTCTTCGGTGACAAGCTCGGACGTCGCAAGAGTATCTTCCTGGGTGCCGGAGTTATGATCATCGGTGTCATCATCCAGATCGCCTGCGTTCCTCCCAACAGTGGCGCTACCGCCCAGTTCATTGTCGGACGATGCATCACTGGTGTTGGAAACGGTATCAACACTTCTACCATTCCTACCTACCAAGCTGAGTACGTCGAGCCATAACCTGCTCTTTCAAACAATTACTGACTATTACCAGGTGCTGCAAGGCCAAGAACCGCGGTAAAGTTATTTGCATCGAGGGTTCCATGGTTGCCATTGGCACGCTCATCGCCTACTGGATCGATTACGGCTGTCTCTACGGTCCCGATGACTTCACCTGGAGATTCCCCATTGCTTTCCAGTGTGTTTTCGCCATGATCGTCATCGTTATGATGATTTCGCTACCCGAATCTCCTCGATGGCTTCTCAACCACCATCACGAAGATGAAGCCGCTACTGTACTGGCTGGTCTCAACGGTGTTGCCCGCGACGACCAAGAGGTCATTGTCCAGATGCAAGTCATTCGCGATGCAGTCAGCGCATCTGGTGGTGGCGGCAAGGTCCCTACCAAGGCTCTTCTTACCGGCGGCAAGTCCCAGCACTTCCGTCGTGCTATCCTCGGTGCTTCCTCGCAATTCATGCAACAATTGTCTGGTTGCAACGCTGTCATCTACTACTTCCCCATTCTGTGCCAGAGCGCCTTGAACACCGACCACAACCTCGCCCTTCTTCTCGGAGGTGTCAACATGGTCGTTTACGCCATGTTCGCCGCTACCTCTTTCTACTTCGTTGAGCGTGTCGGCCGCAGAAAGTTGTACCTCATCGGTACCGTCGGCCAGATGACTGCCATGATCATCACCTTTGCCTGCCTGCTCCCCGGTGGCGTGCAGAACGAGGACAACGAGGGACCTGCCAAGGGTGCCGCCGTCGGTCTGTTCTTGTACATCGCGTTCTTCGGTGTTACATGGCTGCCGCTTCCCTGGTTGTACCCTGCCGAGATCAACCCTCTCAAGACCCGCCAGAAGGCCAACGCTTTTTCGTAAGTTATTACTGCACCCATTTGACATAAGAACAACGCTAACATCGTCGAAGGACCATTAATAACTGGCACGTAATCCCGTCTAATAAGTCATTCGGAACAATTGCTAACGTTCTTTTAGGCTGTGGAACTTCTTCATTGTCATGATTACCCCCGTTTTGATCACCAACATCGGTTGGGGAACCTACCTGCTCTTCGCCGCTCTGAACGCCTCCTTCATCCCCGTCATCTACTTCTTCTACCCTGAGACTGCTGGTCGTTCCCTCGAGGAAATTGACCTTATCTTCGCCAAGGGTTACACCGAGAAGATGAGCTACGTGCAAGCCGCTAAGCAGCTCCCCAAGATGGACGAGGCCCAGATTGCCGAGGCCGTTCGCCAGTACGATCTCTCCGACAGCGACGTCGAGAACCGCTCGGCTGCTGGATCGCTCAAGGAGAAGCGTCAGCAAGATGAGGAGCTGATGCCTCAGGCCGGAGGTCAGATGTAAGATCTGAAATGTTGCAAGACGAAGATACGAGCGCTGGTCGTACATGATTGCGAATGAGCGCGCTGTGTGCGCTACGGTATCGTTGAGTCGTTACTTGTTATGCATAATGCCTGGAGGAACTATACCCGACGCACAAACGTCACCCATCTAGGCTTGAGATGCATGGAGGAATTTGCTACGTCGCATGTCTAAGGAATGCGCGAGTTTCGTTTTGTTTCTAATTGCATAGCATCGCTTTATACCATTGATCGACAAATGTCGTCAACCATAGAAATCTATGACTTTTCTCACTATATTATGTCTCCTGTACCCTTGAACTCGCACGCCCTGATGAACCGTCAGTACAATGTCTTCTACCTAGATGCAGGCGGACTTGAGGAGGAAAGCTTACAAGTACCAGTCGGCTGCCATGCTGGCGTGTTCGGACTGAGCGCAGGTGAGGCCGACGACCACGATTGGGCATTTGCAAGACCAGCATCGATGCGCAGGGCCAGATTTCGAGACTGCAATATAGCAAGCAGGGGAGTAGGGATTTAACCAAGGTCGGGGCATACATATTCATCCTTGGCCCCGAGGAGCCTGAGGTTCAGCACCATCTGCAGTTCCACTTCCGCCTTCGGCAGGCGCAGCAATCTTGATAGCGGGAACACCGCCGGCAAGCGCAGCAACCTCGGTAGCGGGGACACCGACAGGCGGTTCAACTTCCATCTCATCATCGGGCAGTTCAAGGGTCTCCATGGCGGCAGTCGCATCATTCACTTGCTCCTCGTGCGCCGCGCCATCGTCATCCACGTCGTCGTCATGCTCAGTCCGCTCCAAATCGGCGCGCACATCGTCTATATGTTCGCGCACATCGTCCATGTACGTATCGAGCACAGCGTCCTCACCCTCTGGATTCCATCGCCTAACCACACGCCACAGGATCTCCGCCTCCGCGTGACAGTTGTTCGCGTCGTCCCAGTCGCCCAGTGTTGAAGCCAATAATAGGAGCGCTTTCATACGGTGGTATCATGGTATAGAATCATCAGCTAGAAGGGCGCGGGTCTTTTCGATACACTCGTCTAGGCGGTCGTTGTTGTAGAGTTCGCCTGCTTCGTTCAACGCCTTAGTGAAGGACTTGTCGATATCGCTGGCAGTGGTCATTCTGTTAAGAGTCCACGGGCTTTGTGGTATCTGTCGCTGGCTGTGAAGAGATGTGCACAATGGTTGTGTGCGTGTTGTGGATGAGTGGGCGAGTGTGAGATCGCTGGACTCAACCTTGAGAAATCACATAGGTATCGCAAGCCATCATGCATATCAAAGTGTAACTTCCCTAGCAGTCCGAGCTAATTGCAGGCCCTCGTCTCAATTCGAAGGCGCAATCTTTTCTTCGCTGATGTTGAAGGTGTCTCGCATAGTACGGGAGCGATCTTACCTATGGTGCTTGAGCGTTGTAAGGCTTTTTGTATCAGTTAGTACGAACCACTCAATGACTCAGCATTACCGCAGCGCTGGACTTATTCTGCTAGACCCATCGTTGTGTATCTATAACATATCTCACGAGACCATGTAGTTCTGTCGGGACTTCAAGGTGCTGCGGCGAACGCACGTGCCTCGGCAGTGCTCGGAACGTTCCGAACTCGCGCCTCGATGACACTTGGCTTCCATTCAACTCTTCGAGACTGCGACCTTGCGTCCTCATGTTCCCACACCAGTGACCGAGCACTCTATGGCGATATCGAACGTGTCATTTGACACTCTGGGTCCTTTCCTAGTGTGGCAGTTTCTCATTCCCGTCGTAAGCTAGCCCTCACACCTGCGGCACGGCAATATCTAACGCGACACAGGCAGCGGGATGGGCCCAATCCATTCTCTACAGCATCTTCATTCGCGCTGGCGACCCGAAACCCCAGCCCGGCACTCCGCGCTTTATCAAGCATCGCCGCAACATCCTAATAGCCATCTACGCCGCCTACTTCGCCTTCACCATTTACGAAGTCGACTTCAACTTGCAGCGCTCTAGCAATGCATACAACGACCTCGGTGTACCACTAGACGTCGACGAGAGCGCACTGAATACGCGATTCAGGAGGCTGACGATTCGATACCACCCAGATAAAATTGGGCCGAACGTGGATAGAGAGAGGGCAAATGACTTCTATGTTCATCTGAAGCGAGCCAAAGACATCATAATGGATCCTGTGAAGCGATTCGCATATGACCGCTTCGGACCAAGCATCTTTGCGCAATGCCAGAGCTGTTTGACTATCAAGGACTACACAGACAGTGCGCTGCTCACTACCGCTACCACCTACGGCGTACTCTTCATCATTCTGGTTGGCGCAAACGCCCTCGGCTTCCTAACAGACGGGTCCTACTGGCGCTATCTAGGACTTCTCGCTGTTGCGACTTTCGAAATCCGTACCGCTCTTCGTCCAGATTACCCCACCTTTCTCTCGAAATACCTGAACCCGTTCGTCGCAAGAACCAACCTCCGCCCTCCATACCTGCCCTTTCAAATCATCACTATATTGAAGAAAGCTGCGATCTCCCTTACGCAGTTTCTCGGTCTGCTTATGCCACTTTACCGAAGCGACCCCCAACATGCCGCAAAAGCCAACGACGATACCGAAGATACTCGCCACAAGCAGCTTGATCGTCTCAGCGCGCTTGTTGCGGAGAGTAATAAGGATGCGAACAGACTGCTGGAACTGGAAAGCGTACCATATAGGGATAACGAGAGGGCAAAGGGCGAGCTGAGGGAAGCACTCAAGAAGTACATGGTGCAGAACGTGGTGCATCAGGAGAAGGAGGTGAGGAATGCGATGGGTGAAGTCATGATGCGGAGAAGGACGGGTGTGCCGCACGGTGCCGTGGGAACGAAATAGTACTAATCCGGGCCGATCGATATCTGTTACCAATCCACGGCTTTTCATTTCTGTTCTATGGATATAGCAAAACCCGCGCTTCTCGACTGTCTACCATGCTCCGCTGCCTGGTGATTCTACTCGGAATGTCGAGCTGATAACATGGTTGAATAACAGCAAATTAGAAAAACAGGACAGAAGATCCCTGTGCACCAGCGAACTTGGCCTCTATCAGGATGTATCGCAGGTCCATGAGCGGGTGATTAGTGCTCTGGTTTTAGTCCTTTTATGCTAAACCCGACTTTTGCCCCCGCTATAAAACAAACCCGGCGATCCGCCAATTCCCCGCAGCCTCCCCACATCTTCTAGGACCATTCCAGCAACCTTTCCGACAACTCAATGGAACATCTCGCGGCCGTCGGAATAATCGCGTCCGCTTTAGCCTAGAAAGAGAGGCACGATGATGTCGATACGCTTTCTGTCATAGCTTCCGATGGCATATGAAGCTCGGATAGCCATGGGAATATGGACAGCTCCTTCCATAAACCACCAACGATCTCAATACTCCCATAATGGCCTCACTCAGAGTCGCCGCCATTTCCCTTGCAGCCTCTGCTGTCTACGCATACCCAACGACAGACTATTCCGGAGCCGCATGTCTAAGCGTACCAAAGACAGCAGAAGGTGCTTCGATACCACATAGCAACTCCTTTGCCTCATTCTCGTTCGAACCTGCCTTCTGGGTCGAATTCTTCGGTAATGCTAGTACTCCCAACAACCTTACTTTCAGTGTCCTGGACAGAATCCATGAGCATGGTGGAAGTCCTGTCATACGACCTGGTGGCATCACCATGGACAGCATGATATTCGACGCTGGCGGTGGCGACGTGGTGCGTACCACTAGTCCGGAAGGCGGCGTATGGCGGACCACTGTTGGACCTGAGTACTACAAGAGTTGGAGTAATTTCCCCAATGGCACCAGGTTCATCTCAACTCTCAACTTCGGTAATGAGAGTTTGGAAATCTCTACAGGCCTTGCAGTCGCATCGCTTACCTATCAGCCCGACAAGGTCGCGTACCTTGAGCTTGGTAACGAGCCGACCAACTACGACGAGAGTCGGTGGAATGACTCGACTGCAGCCTATGTGCAGCAATGGAAGCAATACACGGCTAGCATCGATACTGCGCTGGATGCTCTGAACAGTTCAGATCTACCCCAAGAGCGCTGGTGGGCATCTTCCGCCACGACCGACGACTCAGGACTTGAAGTTCGACCTGCTGCACTCATCCCAGCAGGCATCGACTCAGAGGATCAGGTCGGCATATATTCGATACACTCGTATGCTTTTTCAACCTGCGATCCAGAGCGCGCTGCATTGGCTACCATCGAAAATATTCTCAACCACACCGAGCTCACACGCTACTGCGATGAAGAAATCTATCCGTCTGCCCGCGCCGCTCTCGATGCCGGAAACAACTGGAACATTGGCGAGTTCAACTCCGTCTCTTGCTCTGGAGCACCAAACGTTACCGATACATTTGCGCAAGCACTCTGGGTCATTGATAGCGAGTTGATCTACGCGACAAGGAATGCCAGTTCCACGCATCTACACCAGGGTGCTACACTTGCTCTTCAGTCCGACGAACAGCTCAACACGCCTGGTGCAAACGGTAGTCCAGGTTTCAGCACTTACTCAATGCTATACCCTCGCGACACCGAGTTGAGAGGCCCGGCACGGACTCTACCTTCTTTCCTCGCGCAGCTGTTCATGGCTGAGGCCTTCGCTGTGCCTGACACTCGGGTTCGCGCTCTCGAGCCACCTGCTGGCGTTGACCCAGAGTCGTTCTCTGCATATGCGTTCTATGTCGACGATCACTTGTCGAAGCTAGCACTCGTCAATATGAAGCCTTTCTACGCCAACTCGACAGATGACTTCTCTGTACATGTTGATCTATCGGGCGCTTTGGGTTCCGACGGCGGATGCTTAGGTGTAAAGAGATTGACGGCACCATTCGTGAACACTGGAAATAGCTCGTTGACATCTTGGGCTGGACAGTCATTTCCTCAGGGTGAGCCGATGGGCAACGTGGTGGTTGAAGCGGTTGGGACAGATGCTGTAGTGAACGTGAGGGGTAGTGAAGCAGTACTTGTGTTCTTTGACAAAGACAGCATATATGGTCTATAGATGCTAGGATGTATATGGAGCTCCTAGTGTTAAAGAATAATGGAGGAATTGCGATAGCAGCTGACAATTACGTACAGCGAGTGAAACGTGCATTTGTCGCGCAATCCCTTCTGCGAAATGGAAATGATCAGTCTAGGCTCTAGAATCGAGATGCTGGGATTGGCTGATCGTCATGGCGTTGCATCGTGGCTTAAGCCAAGCTGCGCTGGTGGAGAGGAGTAGCGATCCTTTGGCCCCTGTCGCTGGCTAGCGTATGTATCCTTTCGCTCACGTCAACGCAGCTTCCATCGAAGTCCTTTCACCAACACTAGCTTTCCATCTCACTTTATCATCCCTTGAAGCTCACAAAAGCGTCCAATCAAAGACATTCACTGATGGTGTCGCTCGGGGATCATTTTCGGCCTTTGTGCGGGCCGGAAGCCATTGCCTAGCCACGGATCGCATGGCAGCAATAAGAGACGAAACACGGCAAGCCTAATTACGCCTGGCCACGCCACCAAAACTTCTTGCGGAGATGAAAATTATACCGATTATATCAGAAGGAGCACACAAAAGATAGCTGCACTACCTATAGGCACAAGTGTCCTGATTCATCCATTGACTCCTACGCTAATGTAAAGTATATGCTTCATAAAATCAAAAATATGCGGATGACCTTTGAAATTCGACGTCACACGGTCGCTAGATTTATGCGCAGTCCCGTCCCTCTGAGAGTCTCTACCACACTTCCTATCTTCAGCATGAACTGCGCAGCTTCGTAGGAGAAGCGCTCGTAATCACCATCTCCCAGAGACCCTTGCGCTAAATCGACTTCGACTACGACCTCAGTACGAGCGGTCTTGATGACAGTGAGGCCCTCAATGGTTTTGCAATACCGCCGCTCTTCAAACAGCCGCTTTTCCGGCAGCAGGAAGGCAAAGTCAAGCGGCCGAATCTGTATGTGCAAGCGCCTTGCGTAATCGGCTGG